AGGGCAACTCTGTCATTCCCGGCAAACAGTTTCATAGAAAGCACATTTTTTTATGATACAATAAGGAGGATACATTTTTTTTTTTGTAAATAGAAATGAATAGCCTGACAGTGGGCAGCAAAACACTTTGATTTCTTAAGAAATGCAGGCACAAAGGCCCTTCTATAATGCACTTTCCTGAGGCACAGCCCCCAAATCGTTGTCTGTGCCCCCTTGTCAGGATGTTTGCAGAAGACACTTGGGAGGGTCTTTTCCCTCCATAATCACAAATGGCAGCCGGGGGGCTGCGGACAGTTTTGTTTCCCTTGCTATCCTGAGGGGCCCCTCTGGGTGGTGGGCTTCTGTAAAGACGGCAGCCAAGAGAAGGCACCAAGAAGCAGCCCTACTCAGTAACACGTGAGGCCACCGTCACAACACTGCGTTCAGCCACTGTGGGCGAAACACGGCGCTGCCTTCCTGGAGCTGAAAGGGAAGACGATGTTAATCAAAGGGCAGATGAGGACAGCACCCGACAGTGTACAGGCTGCCATGACACAGACTGAGAGCGTTCACTGGGGTCTTCCTGGACTCGCGGCTTCCCCCCAGGACCACTTGCCTAGGCAGACACAGAAGCCAGTCCGCTGGGTAACTAACTGTTGAATAAAACCACCATCTAACAGCCGAGACTGGGGTTTCTGAACGATCTTAACCCTGTGGCCAGGTCTGGCTATGCAGAACTGTGCTGACACACCTTCTACCTGGACCCCTGGCACCTTATTCCCACATTCCTGCCGACTTTCCAATCCAATCCCCTTACACCAAGGGCGGGGCACCTGTTCCCTTGACCACCTCCCACAGACCTCAGACCTCCTGCCTGCCTTGGCTGGCCACCTGAGATAGAATGAATACGCAGGGGTGGGTCATGCTGAAAGCAGGCCTAGAGCCTCCCTTGAGGAGGTGGGGTGTAAAGGAGCCGGGGGAAACACCTGTGAGAAAAACGGGCGCAATGATCCCAGAAAGCAAGGTGGAGTCAACGGCTGGGCTCCAGTGCCAAGTGTCTCCTTGCCCAGGTACCCAGACTCTCTCCTCTCTAGACTCTCTGCCCCAAGGGAAGAGCCGAGATAGCAGTATCTGCCCACAACTGGAAAACAGCGATGCATCCTGGCACGTAAAGCCAATGGGGTCCAAGCCCTGCCTCTCCTCGAAGCTGGCCCCATCAACCCTGGGCCAGTCCCTTCCCTCCTCTCCCCCTACATCCTACCATCACCCCCACACCTTTCTGAAGTCTGGATCAGATCCTCTCCCATGGTCTGCAGGGCCCTGTGGGGCTGCCTGCCCCTCCACTTAGCCCACCTCGCTGCGCTCCAGCCAGGCTCCTCCTTGCCCTCCGACTCTCCCACACTGCACTGGATGCACCGTCTTCCTGAACCACCTTTCCCTCAATAAATACCCCCCATTTCTCACTTCAGTGCACACAATGACATATGTTTTCTAGGACTGTTACTAGGTGCCATCCAGTCAGTTCTGATGCACTGAGA